CCCCAAGCTCAGGGGCTTCCTGCGCTGAGGAAGCCACCAAGCCTGGGAGCCGGAAGGCTGAGAATGACCTTGATATGTTGGTGGAGGACTGGGATATGGTTCCAAAGTACTGGGCCGAGTACTGTCAAGAGCATCGGGCTCACCCTGCTGCTGCTGCTGAGAACTCAGGGATCTCTATTCCCTGTACCCCCTACTGCTACGTGGCGCTTGTATATCTTTCCCTGATTTGCAGTTTTTCATGAACTCACATGTTGGGAGCAGTTTTTCTGTGTTTTAAGGCGACGAAGCCACATCCATCAACAACACTTGGATGTTCATCACATTCAGCGGTGATCTTTGTGGGTGTCTTACAAACTCGCTGGCATCCAGGCTTCTATGCTGTATCCTTCCTGTGGACCGTTACGCAATCACTTCGGAACAAATCAACCTAACGGTCCAGGCAGCGTGCTGGGAGATTGTGCAGTCGTTCAAAAAGCTGGGAGAGGATGGCCTGGTAATTCAGGATCTGCCTTCAATGGGAGGTGGGCCTGTGCCTTTCCGGCAATTGTTTGCTTTGTTTAGCATGACCCTAACCCTAACCTTAACCCTTATAAGATGTTGGAATTTTGCTGGGAAGAAGTTCAGGTTTCCAGGCTATTCTTCTACGTTGCCGGGTTCCGGGGCGACTGGAAGGCGCTCAAGCAAGTCTTTAATTTTGATAGGTACGCAGACCGTGACGAGGCGCGGGTGGCCGCCTTATGTAGGGCTGGGGGCTTTTAAGCTTCGTTGGGGTGTCAGGGCATCAAGAATTGCTCCCTCCTGCAGGTTTGCTGGAAGTGCTCAGCCACCAAGGGCTCGCACGATGTTGCTTATGCTTTCACAGACACCCGTGAGTGTGCCAGATTTTGGGAAGATCTCCATACGCAGTGCCCCTGGAAGTATTTGCCTGCTTACGCCACGCTGCCGGGCTTCGAAATCAGCGCCATCGTGCCCGATCTGCTGCATGTTTGGCATCTTGGCGTCGGCCGGGATGTGTTGGGTTCAAGTCTAGTCATTATGTTGAGCAACGGCGTGTTTGGGCCAGGGTCCGCGATGAACAAGCTTATGGAAGCCACAAACCGTTTGCGTCGCTTTGCAAGTTCTTCTGGATACTCGCTCCGGCTGAAGAAGTTGACCAAGAACAAACTGAATTGGAAACAGCGATGCTATCCAGAGCTTAAGAGTTCTGGCTATGATACGTTTGCGGTCCACCAGTGGGTAATGAACGAGTTACACACTTTCCCTGAGTCGCTACCTGCTGACCTCGTTGCTTGCCTTTGGGCCTCCAACCATTTCTTGAGCATCTGGACGAACGCAGGAAGGTGGTTGAGCCCAGCTGAGCACGCCAACGCGAAGGAAGCTGGCAAGATTTTCATGCAAGCGCATTGCGCCTTGGCAAAGAAAGCTGCTAGGGATCAAGTGCGTTTGTACAAAGCGCGGCCCAAACTGCACCTTTTGCACCATCTGGTGCGACAAGAGACGCTGAAAAATCCGCACTACTTCGCCACTTGGATGGATGAGGATGGGCTAAAGAAGTTAATGAAGGTTTTGAAGCTCAGTGATGCCAGAAGCGCCGAAAAGCGCTTGTTGCAGAGATGGCTACTCGGATTGCCTGACACGTGGAAGCAGGTGCGAGCTGCAAAAAAACACTCAGGCAGCGGCTTTTTTTGAAACAGTTCAAGATGGTACCTGGCTGTGGCGCAAGGCGCCGCATTTCTCCCAGCATAACACACAGACACGCACACACACGTGTGCAACACCCTATAGATGGGCCC